GGAAGTATAGATAAGTTTGCCTAGGGGGAATGGTAGAGTAGGAGAAAGGTTATCAGATATAACCCTGCAGAACCCAAACATTTAACCCAAACAAGGCTAAGCAGCATTGGGAATCTTTGAAAGAAGTGAGAATATACAGCCTTGGAGAAGAGCAAGGAGGTTGGGAGAGAGGAGTATCTCTAGATTCAGAGAAGTGGTTGCTACCCAGAAAGTTGCCTAAGAGAGGGACTTAGGAAGCATCCATTGGATTTGGGAAAAACAGGGTCACTCTTTCCTTGTTGAAGGCAAGTCCAGGCTAGTTGGAGAATGGATGGGAAGCAAGAAGAGAGTGCACGTGTGGACAGCTTCTCCCCAGGTCTCAGCTTCTTTCCAGGTCTCTCGTCCTCAGATGAGGTGTGCGGGATAGTCTGGAGTTACATGTGAGCTACCCACTGGCTGGATTCTAACACAGATGTGTTTTTGTTTGGCTGGGGCAGTATTTAAACTACATTTATGGTGAGCTGAATATAGTTGTACATAGACCTCTTTCCAGATCCTGTGCAACAGATTAAAAACCTATGTCATACCAGGTTTTTACCTTGTGAGTTTGCCATGTGGGCTGGTGCCGTCTACACATGACCTACATAAATGCCAGTCAGCAATAACTACCATTACAAAGCACTTCACTACATTGCATATCACTGGTGGATCTTCTTTTTTTTTTTTTTTAATTTTATTTTATTATGTTGTGTTAATCACCATACATTACGTCATTAGTTTTTGATGTAGTGTTCCATGATTCATTGTTTGCATATAACACCCAGTGCTCCATTCAATATGTGCCCTCTTTAATACCCATCACCAGGCTAACCCATTCCCCCACACCCCTTCCCTCTAGGAAACTCAGTTTGTTTCTCAGAGTCCCTAGTCTCTCATGGTTCGTCTCCCCCTCCGATTTCCCCCCCTTCATTTTTCCCTTCCTACTATCTTCTTTTTTTTCTTTTTTTTAACATATAATGTATTATTTATTTCAGAGGTACAGGTGATTCATCAGTCTTACACAATTCACAGCGCTCACCATAGCACATACCATCCCCAATGTCTATCACCCAGCCACCCCATCCCTCCCCCACCACCACTCCAGCAACCCTCAGTTTGTTTCCTGAGATTAAGGATTCCTCGTATCAGTGAGATCGTATGATACATGTCTTTCTCTGATTGACTTGTTTCACGTAGCATAATACCCTCTAGTTCCATCCACGTTGCAAAAGGCAAGATTTCATTGGTGTTTTTTTGATGGCTGCATAATATTCCATTGTGTTATACCACATCTTCTTTATTCATTCATCTGTTGATGGACATCTTGGCTCTTTCCGTAGTTTGGCTATTGTGGACATTGCTGCTATAAACATTGGGGTGCATTACCCCTTCGGATCACCACATTTGTGTCTTTGGGTAAATACCCAGTAGTACAGTTTCTGGGTCTTAGGGTAACTCTATTTTCAACTTTTTGAGGAAACTCCAAACTGTTTTCCAGAGTTTTCCAAGTCTGCACCACCTTGCATTCCCACCAACAGTGTAGGAGGGTTCCCATTTCTCCGCATCCCCGCCAACATCTGTCATTTCCTGACTTGTCAATTTTAGCCATTCTGACTGGTGTGAGGTGGTATCTCATTGAGGTTTTGATTTGGATTTCCCTGATGCCGAGCGATGTTGAGCACTTTTTCATGTGTCTGTTGGCCATTTGGATGTCTTCATTTGGAAAAATGTCTGTTCATGTATTCTGCCCATTTCTTGATTGGGTTAGTTGTTTTTTGCGTGTTGAGCTTGATAAGTTCTTTATAGATTTTGGATACTAGCCCTTTATCTGATATGTCATTTGCTAATATCTTCTCCCATTCTGTCGGTTGTCTTTTGGTTTTGTTGACTTTCCTTTGCTGTGCAAAAGCTTTTTACCTCGATGAAGTCCCAATAGTTCATTTTTGCTCTTGCTTCCCTTGCCTTTGGCGATGTTTCTAGGAAGACGTTGCTGCGGCTGAGGTGGAAGAGGTTGCTGCCTGTGTTCTCCTCTGGGATTTTGATGGATTCCTGTCTCACATTTAGGTCCATTTTGAGTCTATTTTTTGTGTGGTGTAAGGAAATGGTCACTGGTGGATCTTCTTAAGGCTCTGTTCCTGAAAGTAATTTAAGATCCAGATAGCAAGAATACTGTGAAAGTAATCTGTGTCTTCAAAGGATTGTGGTTACTGCCACAGTGATCTGCTTTTGAGTTTCCCACTGGCAGTTCTGACTCTGTAGCATATGCTGGACTGTAGGAACATTTTCATTTGGAGGGTGGTATTTGCCTGGAGACCTGACCCTGATGAGGGTCATCACTACCTTTAAGAAGTCACTCTGAACGGAGCCGTGTATAGCCATAGATGTTCATTGGGCTCCCCAGCCTCTCGTCATCTTGTTTCATTCCTTTGATGGTGTAGTTTCCTCTTTTTTTTTTCTTTTTTGGAAACCTGATCCCTCCAAAGAGGATTCTCGAGGTGCCTTGGGATTTCATAGTGAGTCCTCAGCACAAAACACGTGGGATAGATCAGCCTAAGCTTTTGTCATTCAGCTCCTCTGGTTTCTGCGTTTTAAAAAATTGTCTGAGTCTATAAAAGGTTTTTCAGTAACTGATTTTTGCATAAACGTGACTTTCCTAATTGTGTATGATAAATGTTTTATTCTTTCAAAGTCATACACAACTCAAATAGAAATGGACTCAGGAGACTATAATAAATGGAAAGGCAGGAGGAGATGTCTAGAAATGACAGCCTAGAATTTTCAACAGAGCGGTGATCTCAGCCTCTCCTAAAACCTGTGGGAACCGGAGGCCCCAAGGGTAAAGGCAGCAGTCTGGGCCACACAGCTAATCAGCAGCAGAGCCGGAGCTAGATGAGGTCTTAAACCACATGTGGTGCCTTTCTGAGCAAGGGCATCTTGCAACCCTGTGCCAGAAGCTTAAACATAAAAAGGAATTAACTGCTCTCAGTTTGTTTCTGTCCTTCACCTTCACTCTATTTATCTTTGTGTCTCCTCTTCTGGGCTTCCCCTTTGCCATAAAAAAAAAAAACCAATCACTTTGTTTAAGATTCTTCCATACCATGGGCTCTGTTCAGAAGTGCCGTGTGATGAATGGTAGATGGGCAGCTTTGTAATTTGCCCTGATTAGATTGTATAGTTACATCCCAGCTGCATGACTTACTAAATATTTACAGGTTCACAAGTCTGCAACGCTGCAAAGTTGTCTTGTTTTATGGATGTGGGGCCTTTTGCATGATTGCATTATGGTAAGGAGAGGACCACCTGCTGCATCTGTGCTAACATGGCTGAAGCAACAGCTGGTCAGAGGTGGCCTCAGGGGGACACCCAGAGACCATCCAGCTGAAGCCTTTAGACAAGAGTCACCTCAAAGCTGAGTGAGCAAGACATCAATGTGTCATTTTCATGCGGATGGTATATGTTCTAACAAGAATCCTTCATAGTTCTCTACCCCAAAGAGCACTGTGCAGAGAGTCTGACCCAGAAGCTCAGAATCCTCAGATCTAGCTCTGGCACTGCCTCTGAAAGTGGACAAGACACCTCTCAGTGCTGGACCTCATCTGTGAAGCAGTCCAGTGAGATGCGCTTGAAGGTGGGCTCCTCAGCGTTTCTCAGGGTGTTCAGATTCTCTTGTAACATGCTCTGGCATTTCTAGTCTTCATCCTCTTCTTGGGTATGCCAAGCACTCGGTGCCACGTACAAAGGTGCATGTTCATTCTAAGGGAAGTGTTGCTATAGTTTCTAAGAACTAGTTTCTATTCATAGTGTATCACCAAGTCCCATCATCCTTAGAAGTGAATTTAAGGATGAACAGCCACTTCGCAGAGGAGGCTATCCAGATGGCCACTAAGTGTATGAAAAAGTGCTCAACATCATTATTCCTTAGGGAAATAAAAGTTAAACCTCGGTGAGCTACAATGGCACACCCAGCAAAGTGGCTACAATAAGAAATCTGACAATAGCTAGTTTGGGCTAGGATGTAGAGCACTAGAACGCTCATACATGGCTGGTGCAGTGTATAATGGTAGAACCATTCTGAAAAGGTTTTGTAGTGTCCTCTAAAGCTAAACTTACTCTGTGACACAGCAATTCAGCTCCTAGGTTTATATCCAAGAGCAATGATTCCATCTGGCCACCTAAATGCATGTAAAGAACTCTCTTGGTGGCTTTATTCCTAAAAGCCCCAAACACAAAACAGTCCAAATGGCCATCAGCAGAGGAGAGGATAAACAGATGGTGACTTCGTGTCATGAAATACGACATAGCAAGAAAGAGGAATGAATGTGACAAGATGGGTGAATCTCCTAGCATTCTGGTAGGAAAAGAAACCAGACACAGAAGAATACATTCTTGTGGTTCTATCAACAAGGAGTTGAAGACCTGGTAAAACTAGTCTATGGTGATTGAAGCTACACCAGTGCTTGCTTCTGGCATGAGAGGTTCTTGGCAGAAGAAGGACACGGGCGATGGAACTGCTCTGTTGCCATCTGGTTGGTGGTTACGTGCTTGTAAACACGTAAAAAATCACCGAGCTGCCCATGTGCACTGCTCACTTTCTTGCATAGAAGTCGTGCCCCAATAACAACAGTTGGGAAGGGAAGTGCATCCAAATGATTCGTCTGTGTCCTTGATCCCCTGCACTTTGGTGTTTTGGGCCTGTGGACATGCAGGGCAGAGTGTGCGGGTGAAGCCAGAGCAAAATTACTTTTCGCATGGCGCTTGCTATCACACGTCTCTTAGATTGGCCCAGAGCCAGTGGTACGGGCTGCTACTTGGAGAAGCGTAGCGATTCACATTTTTGATAAGTCATTTGGACCCCACCTGGACCACACACTATCAGAGGGTGCTCTCCTTTCTAGGAAGCTGTGGTCTAGTGGCTGATTTTCAAGTAGAGTGTGACTTTTAGGTGGAATCTTATAGAAAGTGTGGTGGGCTTTCATTTCCAGGGGTGGCTGCCAGAGAGACAGCCCAAGCTCTGAAAACGCTGGCCCAGGCTGCCCGTGGGGTGGCCGCATCCACGAGCGACCCTGCAGCTGCGCATGCCATGTTAGATTCTGCTCGAGACGTCATGGAAGGCTCCGCCATGCTCATCCAAGAAGCGAAGCAGGCCCTGATTGCACCTGGGGATGCTGAGAGTCAGCAGAGACTGGCCCAGGTGAGGCCCAGAATTGGCAGTGATGGTCATCACTGAAGTGGTCATGTTGGCAGGCTGTCTCCTGGGCATTCTTTTCCCGGTGTGAACGTTTTTCAATCAGTGGGTGTTTTCAAAACCTCCCAAAGTACTATGCCAGTGGAGGCCGTACACGATTCCCACTTTTGTAAGTCTTGCCTAGTACCCCCCAAAATAGATCTGCTTAATTGAGTCAACAGAGAGTATGGGGCAGGGACACTCTTGAAATCTGTCCTTGGAATTTCGGGGCATGTTTGTTGGGGACCCGTGCATGCTTAAGTATAGTCTTCTTCCTAGTCTGGGAGGTGAGGTAGATCTACTTAGTCTGGCTCTACTGCCTTTTTGGATGAGTCTTTGCCAACCTAATGAAACTAGTGGGCTAGAGGCCATCTGGGCAAAGTTCTAGACAGGAAGCTGGGAAGAAGATGGTCTAGTTAAAGGGAATGACACAGCCCACAGTTCCAAAGACCTTACCCTTGACCTGAGTGCAAACAGCGAACCCTCACCCATCCTAAAGGGACAGCATGTGGGCAACTCCAAGTTGGTCTGGAAGCACTCAGAGCGTCCTGCCTGCCCTTGGGCGGGGTGTGGTCTGGGGGCGATGGCCCCAGAGTGTGACACCTAACTGTGACCCAAAGAACTCAAGGCCTCCTTCCACTTCGGTAGCCTCCGCGGGGCTCTCAAGAAGGGAGCTCTTTCTGTTTATCTTGGTGGCGGCTCTCTTTGTTGTGGAACCTGACATAATATTGGAGACTTCTGTGTTTGAGTCACAGAATTGTGACTTAGCCTGGTGCCGGGCGCACGTAAGGCGTACCATATCACTCTGTCAGCCCCTTTGCCAAGACAGGATGTTAACCCCAGTGAGAGGCCTCGGCGAGGTGACTTAATGGCAAACAGCGTCAGCTGGATGCTGGCAGATCATTTCCCGATGCTTTTCAGCTCTGCGTACTATCACTGCCGGCTCCCCACACGTCTGCAGCAGGGTTGGGAAAGTGCTCTCTCACGGAGCTTTTCTCCCTGTGTGTATGCAGGTGGCCAAAGCCGTCTCACACTCCTTGAATAACTGCGTGAATTGTCTCCCGGGGCAGAAGGATGTGGATGTGGCCTTGAAGAGCATTGGCGAGTCCAGCAAGAAGCTGCTTGTGGACTCGGTGAGAGGCCTTGCATGGAGAAGGGGCACCTTGGGGGCTGGGCTCACCCTGGGTGTGAGAGGAGGCTTCTCCCTTCCGTGGGATCTCTGAGCAGCTAACCTCTGTCTGAGGAGGACCGTTTTGGCTCCCAGTTTGCCTTTCCTTGTTCTGCTTTGCCATCAGCAAAGTTCCCAGGTGGAGCTTTAAAGGTTTACTTTTTCTTTGAGTCGATGTTGCTGTTTGCTCTCCGGTCAGCCCAGTGAAAACAGGAAAGGTGGGTATGTGATCCTCTGACTTCTTATCAGGACATCTCGGGCAGGGACGGTCAGGTGGTGGAGGGATGTGTGTGTCTAAGACATTTGAGAGAGTGAGTAGTCTAAGGAATCTACTTGCTCTTGGAGCCCATTCCCAGTTTTGTGAGCCCCTTTCAGTGGGGTGGAGGGGGTGGGAGGGTGGAGCTTGGGCTCATTCATTTCTTCTCGGCCTGGTGCCTGGCACATACCAGGTCCTCAAGCAGTGTACATGGTAGGACTAATAGAGCCTAGCTTAACTCCCTGGAACAAATAGGAATAGTTCCACCAATGACACTTCTGATCCACACGAAAGCTATGTGAGCAAAGGCTACTAATAAAATTGGTGGCTATTTGGAAGAACAGGATGTGAAGTTTAATAGCATCTGTCTTTTCATTCTAGAAAGCTAAACCTTTGAGAGGTTCCATCCAAAATGAAGTGGTGGTTCAGAGCATGGATCCTGGAGTCAGACTGCCCAGGTGTGAATCCTGGCTCTGCTACTGAGGGGACCATAGCCCCCAAGGATAGACCGCTTTTACATCTACTGTGTCTAGCACTGAAGAGGTGTTTAGTAAATTTCAGTGAATGAAATAATGTCTGTATGCTAAAGGTCAGACTTAACATAGGTGGCCTCAGACCACACAGAGCCTTTTAGTCTAGATGACTCAGAAATGCAGCCCTGGGAGAGTCTTTCCCTCCACAGAGCCTTCCTTCATTTCCCCCATGCGAGGTAAAGCTTCTTATGGGGTGTGCCTCTTCTCCCCACTGCAGTTACCTCCGAGCACAAAGCCTTTCCAGGAAGCCCAGAGTGAGCTGAACCAAGCCGCGGCTGATCTGAACCAGTCTGCCGGGGAAGTGGTCCATGCCACCCGGGGCCAGAGCGGAGAACTCGCCGCAGCCTCTGGCAAGTTCAGTGATGATTTCGATGAATTTCTCGATGCTGGCATTGAGATGGCGGGCCAAGCTCAGGTGAGTGTGGCGATGGCTGCCTGGAGCGGACCCTTGCCTGTCTATTCTGGTGGACTGTCCGCCCTGGAGGCGGTGGGCAAATAGGAACAGGGAACCCTGTCAGCAGGTCACACTGTTGTGTTCTCTTTCTTGCTTAGAAAGCTCTGTGACCTCACAGGCCAGGCATTCCTAAAGACGCTATTAGCTTATGTGTGTGAAATGCTTCTTAGAGATGAGGGATAACCTCCCACGATCGTCCAGCAGGATTCATGGTTTACTTAAGCTTTTCGGAGGGAGGGCAGCTCTGTGTCCTGTACTTCATACGTGGTATAATATAGTAAAAAACAATGTGTTTGAGGTTCATTGGGCACATTGGAGGGGGCTATGTCTAATACCAAGTGTCAAATGATTAAAAATTACCTCTTTGAGGGACACCTGGGTGGCTCAGTCAGCTAAGCACCTGCTTTCGGCTCGGGTCATGATTTCAGGGGTCCTGGGATCGAGCCCCACATCGGGCTCCCTTCTCTGCAGGGAGCCTGCTTCTCCCTCTCCCTTTGCCTGCCACTCCCCCTGCTTGTGCTCTCTCTCTCTCTCTCTCTCTCTCTGTCAAATAAATAAATAAAATCATTTAAAAAAATTACCTCCTTGAGATGAACAGATAAAGCCCTTATTCAGAACAAGGGAACATGACTGGTCTGGTGTCAGCCTGCAGAGCTGTTTTTTCTTGAGCTCCTGTGAACTCCCTAAAGGAGACACCAAGGGTGTTCTCTTGTGTGATCTACAAATGGTTGTTTCTCAGATAGGAAGTCAGCCAGGTGAGAAATGTGTCTTTCCCCGAGTCAGCAACTTCTGGGGTGCAGTCAGCTCCGAATATTGAGACAGTGCCGGGCATTTGTGCCAGGCTGAGATGTATGAGCTCCTTGACAACTCCAGCATTGTTGAGCAAGACGCTGGAATCCTGGCCTGGTCTGTGCACTGATGTGCTGGTGCTCTCTCTCCCTCTCTCTCCTTCCCTCCCCCACTTTCAATGCTTGCACTTGTGAGACAGCACAGCTCTTGGCTGACCCACTTGGGGATGGATCTCTGTCCTGTTGCGGGCATCTTGGTGTGGCTATCTGTTTGGGGGAGGGTAGACACGGGGCAGTGTCTCTACCAGTTAGGCATCTGCAGACTAATGGGGCTTAATGCAGTCTCTGTAGATAACTTGCTTCCATTTCAAGATGCTTCTCCCAGCTCTGTGAATGCTGCCCGGGAGAAATGGACAGTCCCTGATTACTCTGCCTCCTTTCGACTTTGCAGACGAAAGAAGACCAGATCCAAGTGATAGGCAACCTCAAGAATATCTCTATGGCATCCAGCAAGCTGTTGTTAGCTGCCAAGTCTCTCTCGGTGGATCCAGGAGCCCCCAATGCAAAAAATCTCCTGGCAGCTGCTGCAAGGTAAGAGTGGAACAAAACGTACTTTCATGTGTGGTTAAATAATGTCAGTGTTTGAGAGACAGGCCTGACATCCTGCTGCTCTGGCGGAGCAAAGCCGTGGTGCTGTTTTTATGTTGTCAGAGGCAGAGTCGTGACTCTGGCACTTGATTAAACTGGCTCATCCTCATGTGCTTTCCCCACTAAAGATGTTTTCTGTCTTCTCTTACAGCCTTTCAGCTTGCTTAGACTTAAGGCCCCTATTGATTTATAAGCATGATGGCTTAAATGGATGTTTTTAAAGGAGTGTTATATCTTTCCAATGATGAAAGTAGTACGTGCTCCTTGAAAAAAAATCAGAAAATACTAAAAAGTATTAAAAAAAAAAACAAAAAAACACACCCACACCACCCAGCAAGCCGTTCAACATTTCTTGAGCACTTACTGTGTGCCTGGCATCAAGGCTAATGAGATGAATTTAAACCTATTCCATTTGTCACGTGCAGAAGGGCTCCAGTTTCAGGTGAATGGAGTAGTGGTGGGAGTCAGCTATTGAGTTTGGGGTGGTGCCAGTGTCCTTTCCTGCTGTTTTCACCCAAGGAAGCGGTGAATACAACACAACGTCCGCTCCAGGGCCACTGTTTCAGTTTCGTTCAATAACCAGTGACTGAATGCCGGTCCGTGGAGAAACTGCAGTGACAGCCCGGGAAGATTTTGTATTAGCAAGCCCACGTTCATTTTCCTGAACCAGGAGGGTGCAGGGTGTTTGATATTTCTCTAGGGCTGTGGGCCTGTTCTCTTAGCATTGCTTGGCGTCACTTTGTGTATAGGAAAGCTCACAGCAGGAAGAGATGAAGTGCAGGCAGTTAGGATATATAGCATAATTGGAAACCTTTTCAGAATGTGCAAATTAGTGATTTTTAAAAAGCATGGCTTGATTTCTACTTTTCGATTTTTTTTTTCAACTTGATTTTGCTTGTTTACTTGTGTATTTGTTTTTTCATGTCTTTCTCTCTCTGGGTCCTCAATGGCTGTCTTTTTAAATTGAGTTCAGAGTCAGGAGAGCTGAATTCTAGTCCAGGCTTTAATGTTTGACACACTTGGTTACATTGGTTGGATTGTTCAACCTGTCTCAACTTGCCCATCTGCAACATGGGGGTGGGTACTACGTCATCCTTAAGTGCTAAGTTCTTGTTAGCTCTCATCAGTATACAATATATCTTGGTGCTTATGGTTAAAACTGGTCTCTGGTCTCCTCTTGGTCTGTAGTGCTTTATTTATTTGTTTGTTTGTTTATTGTTTGCGGGTCGTAGGGGTTGGAATTAGATCATCTTAGAGCAGGTCCCTTGAAAGCCCTTGAGTGTCTGTAGTTATTCCTAGGTGTATATACTTCAGCTTCGAACAGTAGCGAGAGCCACTAGGAGATTGGAAAAATACCCTCCCATCTCCCTACCTCCATCTTCCGCTTTGTGGCTGTGCTGGTGAGGCCCTCTGAGGGGTGGGGGCTGAGGAGGGAGGTGTGATGTCCTCTCTGTTGAGCAGCTGTTTCTCATATAAAACCCTCTCTTGATTCTTCTTTTTCCTACAAAGAGCCTTTGGATAGGGCAACTGATGTTTCCAGGTATCTGAACTCAGATGTTTTTCATTATCTTCAGTTTTTTGCATCATTTCAAAATTACAGTTTCCAGCTTAGAATGCACTGTTCACTCTCTTAAATCATGGAAGAAGGGGATAGTGTAAATTGGCCTTTTGCAAGCCACGTAGGGAAGGAAAGGCAGGCCCTAAAGGATTATGGCTGGTGTCATGGCTCTGTGGGTGTCTGAAGGCCCCCTGGTGGTGACATTGAGGAAGGGGCCTGGAGACGAGGTAATGACCATTTCTTTGCCCCTTTCTGTCCTGGCTTTGAGCAGTTGACAGGGAGTTCCAGCCTGATGGTTTCATAGCCAAGTACGTGCTTAAAAATCATCACAGGAAATGACTGTCTCAGGATGGGACTGTTGTCAGAAGATGCCTGCACTTTCTCCTTGGCTTCTTGGCACATGTGGGGAAGCTCTGCTCCTTGAGGTGGTTTCCTAGTGGAAGCTCCGGCCAGGTCAAGTGAGTCAGGCAAGCTGTTCTTTGGAGGTGGAGCTCTGCACAGCTGGCGTGCATTCATTCATTCATTCAACAGATTTTTACCACGTGCCTGAAATGGGCTGGGCCCAGCACTGCGGGCTGGGTGGGCGCACACTGGGATAGCCGGGTCGAGTTAGGGCAGGGGACGTGCACATACACAGCATGCTCACCTCATTCCGTCTGGATGCTGCAGCAGCCCTGCATGTGAGTGCTCTTGGAGTTGAGCAGCTGGGATCTGACTGCCGTTGTCCTCATCTTCAGTCCCACCACCCTCCCTGTTCCTGGGACAGCCCAGCCCTGCCTGTGTTATATGTGGATGTCCCCAAAGGCCCCATTGATGCCATTGTGGGGACCTAGACCTGGACCAGTGCAGCCCTGCCCTGCTCCTACCTCCGTAGACTTGAATCCTTTGTTCTTGATGGTCTCCATGATTCTTCCTGCTTTGGGAAAAAAGATTTATCTCTGGAAAAGCAGGTGGGTATGCCCTTTCCCTCTGTTCTTCATTCTGCATTGGAGCCCAGGTACACATGAGGAGCCCAGTCCTTTGGTTTCTGATGCTTAGAGAAGATGAAGTCATTTTCTGTTTAGTGCCCAGCTTGTTTGTCTTTTTCCTGTGTAAGTGGTGAGCTCTGACTCTCTTCTGAGGAGCTGGGTAGAGCTGGAGACCCTTTGTCAACCCTTCAACAGCTTTTTCCCTGGCCAGGGGCTGGTCTGATGCTGCCTGAACTTAGTCAAAGAAATAGAAAACCAGGTTGCATTGGAAAAAGGAGGGCACATCCTACCTCTGAGCACCTCCCCTGCTCCAGCGCTCACACCATGGTCATGCTGGCCAGAAGGACGCCCTGGCTGAGACTTCACATCCATGGCTGTCGCTGCCAACATTGGGACCCAGCTATTTTTTCTGCTGCCTTCCTGTCCCCTGAGGCTTCCCTAGAACTTTGCAGGCAGTTCCTCTTCCTGGGCTGCCCTTTGTTTTGAGGTTCCTGCCAGGCAGGCTTCCTCCTGTCTCCAGAGACAGTGAAAAAGGATAAGCCAGCAAGCAGTGCTTCCACACTGTAGCATAGAAAAATATAAACTAGGCCATCTGTTGGTCTCCTCTGGAATATTCTCTTCCCTTTATCCAAATCAGGATCTCACTGACTTCTCCGACTGTTGCAGTCCACATCGAGCTCTCCCTTCCATGCAGAGCCCATGCCTTCCGTGTGTGCTCCCTACAAGCCTAGAGCATGTGTGGCCTCTCTCGGAGGTTCGGGATCCTGTATGACGTGCTCCCGCCTTCACTGCTTCCTTTGGCTTCACCTTCTCTGTGTCTTACCTGTTCATTATCCGGCTTCTCCAACCGGATTGCAATCACCTTGCTTTCCTAGAGAGACAAACTATATTATTTTTTAATTGCCATATCTTGTACAGAGCAGGACCCAGGGAATACGCACGTGTGGAATTTGGGGTGCTCTTTTTTTTCCTGCCTAAGGATGTTGTCCCTTGAGGAAGGGAAATGTCTGATGTTGGTGTTTTCCCCTCCAAGCTCCTTATCAGATGATTTATGCTTAACAGATCATCAGAAGCAGAAATTGGTTGATTTTCTTCTCTCACCCTTGGCCCATCTCCATATCTATTGAGAATTTCCCTCCATAGCTCCCAAACTAGTTGAATCAATTCAGTCAGTATCTCTGAACACTAAACAATGTGTGGGTTAGAGGCCTTTTTTTTTTTTTTTTTCAAGATCTAAGGTTATAGATTCCAATTAAAAAAAAAAAGAGTGGCTGGATATGCCTAAAGAACGAAACACAAGTAAACTCTACTTCTAGATGGGAGAATTATGGTTGCTTAACTTCTTTTTATTTTTAAAAAATAAGCTTGTGCAGCTTTAGTCATTTTTTTTAAATTGTGGAAAAATATTTTAAAACTGTGGTTCAGGCCTATTTGGATTCATATAGAACAGAGGGAGGATGCTGCTATTTTTGGCCCTCTCTTTGTGACAGTGTAAATTGGCTAAATCGTCATTTTTTATTGGATTTACTGAAATTTTTTATTTAAAAATAATAAAGTTACTTTAAAAAATATTATAAATCTAACTCTTTGGTATGTCATTCTGTCACTTTTTGAGTATATATATGTTTAATTTTGCCGCTGTGGACTCCTACTGTTGATACTGTTTCGTAAATTTTGTTAATTGTGAATCATGGATATTCTTCTATGTTAGGAATATGCTATGCATTATGACTTCTAATGGGCACCCTGAATTCCATTGTAGACTATACATTTATTTAGTCAGTCCTCTGTCATTGCATATTTGGGTTGCTTCTAATCCTTTGATCTTCCAACTAACTGCTATAGTTTGAAGCATAAAAATACTATTTTTCATTGTCAAATCTACATAACCCTTTGCCTCTGGGCCACTTATTTTATTACTGCTATCTACTCCAGACTCTAAAATGAGTTATGAGGATAAATTATACCTAAATCATGCTCCCTAATCATGGATCAGTATTACCCCAGTGACTCATTCAGACATCCGTGCTGTGCTGGCACTTTTATGGATTATCCAACCACAAACCGCTAGTCTGTTGGGGTTTTTTAGCCCAAGTTTTTATTTGAAAAATTTTCACATCTAAAAAATCTATAAAAGACGAGGACAATAAGCAGCTATATATTCTTTGGATTCCCCAACCATAAACAGTTTCTAATGGACAAATCTATATATGAAAACAAGGTTTTTTAAAAGAAAAATGGAGATAAACAGGAAGCATTGAAAGAAATAAGCTAAAGGGAACGCTTGTGTGACACGTGGAAATATCCTGCACTGTTGAGGGCATTCTGCACCCTTCATTACGTTCACACCTGTCCACTCGGAAGTGTGTCTTGAAGCCTACCACCCGGAACATGGCTCTGGACTCCGAGGGACCCTTCTGGAGAATACATCATGGACCACACCCTCCAAGATGCCCAGAGTTAGACCTTGCCTGCTCTCTCGGTTGTTACTGTTTTGCTTTCCAGCACAGAGAACCCAGTGCTTCTGTATGAAACCTTCATTAAGCACTTTGCCCCAAATAAATGAATCGCTAGAGTCAATCTTACAAAAACTATTTTGAGATTCTTTCTTGAGTTGAGGAATGTTTTTTCTTCTTCCTCCCATCCGCCCTAGCTAAATTTAAAATTCAAAACAGTATCTCCTCATCAAATAATTAAGCTGATTGCCTTTGTACTTTGGCAACATCATTTTCCACCTAATTTGGTATTCTGTGGGAAGCTGCAAAGCCAATTTAATAAAATGAGACACCTTTATATTAGGCAGTGCTAATGATTAACAGCAAGTGTGCTCTATTTTGTTTTTATTTGTTTTATTTTAAGTTGTGGGTTAGCTGCAGTGGTTAGTAACTATGAATAGAATTCAGGGCCCTGCCAGAGTATGGACCAGTTCTCGCCATACAGAAAAATGGCTATGGATCTGGCTTTGCAGTCAGGTAGTCATGGGTTTGAGTGTTGTTTTTGCACCTTACTTGTAGCATCCCCTTAGGGAGTTCTCTCCTCTATCTCTGTTTTTTTTTTTTTTCATTTCTAAAACACAAAGGTATTCAATTTTAAGACTTAATATAAAAACATTGTGGTATTGGCAAAGGATTAGACACATAGGTCAATGGAACAGAGTCCAGAAGCAGACCCACATAAATATGGCCCAGGGGTTGTCAACAAAGTTACAAAAGCAATGCAATGTAGAAAGAAGAGCCTTTTAAATGAAGGGTGCTGGTGAATAATTAATTGGACCTACATAAGCCACGCCCACCCTCCACAGAAAAAGAACCTGGACCCATTTTCACAGCTTTAAAAAAAAATTAAAATGGACCATGACTTTCTAAATGAACTATGGCCTAACCTAGGCAGGAGTTAAGCAGAGGCTGCTCGGGAGAGATGGAATCCTTGCCAATGTAGAAAAAACTCTGAGCTGCTTCTCAAGTTCTAAGAATAGAAACACATATAAAATCAAGAGTCTCTAATTCCTATTAATGTTAAAGAAAAGAGCTCTTTTAAAGAATAATTTGGGGATAGCTTCTTGGAACTAGCGAATCATGTAGGATTTCATGGAAAGACGAGATTTTAAAATCATGAGCACAGTTTACTATATGTATGCCTGCTATGTTTTAAAATATATAAAACACTCCAAACTATACAAAGGCTATCCAAAAGAGCTTCAGATCATCTTATTCCTTATGGGCTGCTAATGAAGGATATTTAAAAACAGTGTTAAATTATCTTTTTGCTATTTGCAACTTTGTTGTGAATTCTTTCCTATGAATATATTAAAAGATAGTCCTACTCTCCTAAAAGAACCATTAGTACCCTTGAAAGGGAAATCAAATGAGTAACCACAGGCAGAGCGGGAACACTCATTCTGTCTTCGCTGGTTGTAGTTTATTTTTGGTTGTTCATAGCCTTGGCGAAGAGCTCTCACGGGGACCCCAGCCTTTATAATGAATTCCTTGTATTTCTGGTGAACCTACAAAACATTGTTGGGGAAATTACTGTTGATCTTTACAAAATAAAACAAAAACCTTTTATCTGTTTCTGTTACAGAGCTGTGACCGAGAGCATCAATCAGCTCATCACTCTGTGCACCCAGCAAGCTCCAGGCCAGAAAGAATGTGATAATGCCCTACGGGAGCTCGAGGTAGGTCCCTAGAAAGGCTGCTGAGGATTTAAGAGGGTGTGACTCTCTGTCCTTTCCAGAACCGGTCAGTTTCTTCTCCTCTGTTCTTGCCTTATATCCTTCCTAGAAGACTACTGAGGCCAAAGTTTCGATCCAAGTGAGAAGGAATTGAAGAAAAATTGGATTTGGTGGGATTATCATCTCTGCTTCCCCTTTTTCCACTAGGATGAGAGTTATTTTGTAAAGGACTCTATTTCAAATAGGAAGAGGTCTGGATGTAGGCTGAAGATGAGCAGTTTCTACCTAAAAAAAGTTTTGGAGTCATTATGCTGGCACAGTTGGGAGAAGCTGGGTTAGATGTTCTTTTTGAGTAAAAATGATTTTTGCATACATTTTTTTTTAGACACTGTAGGGGGCACATTAGTGGAAACTCAGGAGTAATACTTACTACCCAATCAAGTTGACTATGAGACCTGTGGTGGCCCAGAACACAGTGTGGGTGCTTCCCAATTTATATTCATACTTAGGGCTTATTTATAATGGAAAATTCATCTGTGCCCCTAGGACATACACAGGTAAACAGAAAATCATTGTGCCCACTTGTATGTAAAGCAGTCCTAACCAGTGCAGGTTGTATTGAAACAGCCAATTAGATATCTCAGTGGATATGGGTTGGTTCTATCCAATGTACCTTTAGTTTTCTGGATGATTAGCACGGGAGTACCCAGCATGCCAGCGGGGGTCTGATTGCAGCTTCTGAAGGGTTTGATTGAGGCCCAGTCTGCTGGTGGCAGTTGGCCAGTGAGCACAGCTGGAGGTGGGAAGAGGCTTGTTACCGGAGGACTAAAGCATTCTGAGAACGGTGGAGCCTGATTCCTATGTTGGGTTAATTACTGTCCTATCCCGCTCTGTTCACATCCACAAACACGGTATGTGGGCTTTTGGTCCAAATCAGATCTGTAGGCCCAGATACAAACACTCTGTCCCTTAACGGTATCCTTGGTTGCCAAAATTATGACTCTTTCGGGACTGCTATTACTAAAACAGTTTTGATTATGTGAAGAGGGGGAGGAGGTTCTTCATTGAAATGCACTCCTTTATGCTGCCCTCTTTCCTGGATCTTAGTAACTCAGCAGTTTCCACCATGACCTCCCCCAATCCTTGGCAACTCAAATGGCTGTACCCCCAAAGGCTGCTGGGTCCGAATGTACACTCTCACTCACTGGGGAGGAGGTTGGATGGCTCTATCCCAGACTTACCCCCCCTGGAAAATTCCCTCATACGTGACTGTTGGAGATTATTACAACATGCAAGCTCACGATGATTTTCAGTGGACTGGAGACAAAGGAGCAAGCCCCATGCCCTGCTCCTTGAGGGATACCTAAATAGGAGTGAATGTTTTCTATACTTTTTGAATTATAAACAAATGAACCATCCCAGTGGGCAGTTTTGGGGAGTTCCCTTCTTTCATGCCTATGCATTAAAAGGTTCCAGAATTGAAAACTGAAGGTTCTCCTCATCGAGTAGAAATGAGTTAATGTGTCCTTGAATTGTAAACTCCTTGGAGTTACCCAGCAGAGAAATTATGCTAATTGACCATTGCCTTGCATTGGTCAATTCTAACTTCTCTGCTTTGCAAGTCTTCATGTACACATTAGATTTTCTTAAGAAAAAAAAAAAATCTCTCCCTTTTGTGGATACCATGCTTCTCCTTCAGATTTGTAAACAGGAGACTCTCTTCTCTGTCAAAGCTAACCTGAGACATCCTTCTCCCTGCCATCAGTGTTGTGTTGCTAGCAGGAAATCTGAAGTCATAGATAAAAGCATCTAAATTCCTCTCAAGAATGTGGATAAATGAGTGATCATGACCAGAATCCTATATGTGGAGGGGGAGTCGACAGTTGGTATTTTACGTTGAAATTTCTCTGGTTCTGTAACACTCGCTTGCTTTTAAAGTTGTGTTTTCCTTCTGTAGACTGTCAAGGGGATGTTGGACAATCCTAATGAACCTGTGAGTGACCTCTCTTACTTTGACTGCATTGAGAGTGTGATGGAAAACTCCAAGGTAAGCCTCTCTGTGCTGTTCACATTCTTCCTCATTGTGTGGAAGGATCTAGACATGCTCTGTATGTATCTGTCTTTGGCCTCTCTGTGTGGCTGCATATATTACAAAGCCTGATGGTGGAGTGCTTTGCTCAGGTGCTCCTCAAACTTGACTGTGCATCAGAATCACTTAGGGGTCTTGTCAAACACAGATTGCTGGACCTTACCCCTGAGTTTCTGATTCAGTAGATCGGAGGTGGGGCTGAGATTGTACATTTCTGACAGGTCCCTAGGTTCCTGCCAATGTAGTCCAGAAGTGACACTTAGAGATACGGTGCTTATACCATATCGTAAATGGTTCTTACTGTGAATCAAATCATGGATTTCTTTCATTTGGGACTGAATTGCAAGGGAAAGCCCATCAGGGACCTTGGCTTTGATGAGACCCCCTTGTCTGTTCTTCTGGCCATCCATTAATGGCATCATTCTCAAGATAATTGAAAAATTGGGGGTTCTTTTGGGAGGTGGGAGTGAGAAAATTTAAATACTGCAATAGTTTGTGTCCCTACCCCCTGCCACATCTTAACCTTGCTCAACAAAATCTTATTTCTTCTTATTTACTTTGATGTGGTTAGCAATTGGGGGCAGTGAGGCTAAAAAGATTTCTTAGTGGAGCAATAATGATTTTTTAAAAAGTTGAGAAGCACTAACCTATGATGGCAATACCAAAGTTGTTGAGAATGCTTCAAAACTGGGTTAAAATGAAATACAAGGGAGACAAGCGGATATGGAACAGTCGCCAGTACCAAGTTTGTGCTTGGAGCTCAAGTGTGTGTTTGTCTACGTCACCCTGACGTTAGCTTTGGGGACACAGCTGTGTTGGTGATGTCAGGAGGGGCATGCCTTGCAATGGGCTAAGCCTAGAGTTTGCTCTGACCAGCACCCTTCATGGAATTCTGGATGGCCTAAGGGAAGGGTGCATGTGTCTTACACACTTAGATCCAAAGAAACTCTTCCTTCCTAAAGAGGGAGGCAGCTTGATAGGAAGGACAATACGGTGCGTACAAAGGCCTTCTAACTTCTTTGCTTTGCAAGTCTTCATGTACACTGGACTGTGTTGTGTATCTGAGCAATTTTAGGGAATTTTCTCCCCATCCCAGATGGCTTATTGATGAAGAATTCTGTATTGGCAGTGCCATAGTCTTTCTAAAGGGTTGTGTTCAACATCTTCCATTCCATCATCTGTGACCCTGGGAAGGAGGACTAGGACCTGCCCTCTTGGGGCATGACAAGGCCCATGGAGGACAGAACACCAGCCCCGGGGCAGGCATCCTGCCCCTGCCCGTGTGACCTTCTGTGTGACCTTACGTAGGGTGCTCAGCCTCTCTGGGTTGGATTCTAAACATTAAAATCCCTTTTAGCTCTTATTTTAAGACCTCTGGAGAAAAAAAGACATCAGTGATTTTCAAAATAAGGGGAAATACTTAAAAATTTAGGAAATAGTCTTAGTGTTCAGATCACCTACCTATGTACACACACACCCTTTTTAACAAAGCCATACTTAAATTTTACTGTCAATAAGTAAATGAATAATATCAGCAAGGGTATGTCTTCTGCTTTCCTGGGTGTGACTCCCTGCAGTTCAGTGTATGTGTCTGATTTTTCTGGGTACTGACAGGTCTCACTTGAGACCATTCACCTCTGGGATGCCCTGTATAGATTTTACTTTATTGGTCTGTATATATTAACTGTAGCTCTTTGAGATCTAGGTAACTTTTTTTCTTTTTTGAAGAGAGTGAGCGAGCAGAGCAGGGCAGGGGAGGGGGCTAAAGGGGTTGGGACAGAGAGAGGGAGAAAATCCCAAGCAGACTCTGTGCTGAGCTTGGAGCCACCTGATGCAGGGCTTGATCTCAGGACCCTGAGATCATGACCTGAGCTAAAATCAAGAGTTGGACATTTAACCAACCACCCAGGCGCCCCAAGATATAGATAGTTTTTAGATGAAAGGTTCATGGTTTCATTATTCATTTCTCTTTATAAAACAGAAATGATATAATTCTCTTAAATCTCCTCTTCATGCATATAAAGAAAAATAATGGCAAATCGTGTACATTAAGTGGCCTTGAATGTTAAAGTTGGAAGTGTAGCACCCTTTTCCCCATGGCTGGAAGAAATGCTGGTTCGCGAGTATCACTGTTTGGTGGTTTTGCAGGTTCTGGGCGAGTCGATGGCAGGGATTTCACAGAACGCCAAGACCGGGGACCTCCCTGCATTTGGGGAGTGTGTGGGGATTGCGTCCAAGGCCCTCTGTGGGCTGACAGAGGCTGCAGCCCAGGTAAGGGACTGGCCCCCAGGACCCCTGATGCAGGCCTTCCAGCCTTAAGGCCTGTGTCTTGTGCCTCTGTGCTGTGCTCGAGTGAGGATACCAGGAGTACCCTGTCCCTGTGGGAGGCACGGGGGAGCTCCAACGGCAACTCCGTCCCTGACCACCATCAGAGAAACCATGATAAAGGCGGAGGTTCCTGTGCTGGCTGGGCCATTTCGACACAGCACCAGCCAGTTACCCCCAGGAGCACAGCAGCCTGGTGAGGGCAGTGCAACTCAGAACACTGCAGACCCACCATAAGCCTTCAGAGGCCAAATTTGGGAGGTTTTTTAAGACCACTTTTAGAGAGGAGTGGTTTTAAGGGGAAAAAAATGAGTATTACATAATTCACATTCTTTCTGAGGCTTTAAAATTGCAAAAATCTTAGTCATGCTCTTCTTAGGATCAGAGGGAGAAAAAATTAGATACCATCCTGCAGAGACATGATTGGGCATGTTCCTTGCTTTGGTTCAACTGTCCTGTGCATCTGTAATAACTACTGGGCTCATGTGACTGAAGCTTCAAAAATTGTCAGCACTTACCTTGAAGGATTTATCATTTGATTGTTACGTTGAGACTGGAAAATTTTACTGAACCAAAGGGAAACATCCCTAGTTTGGGGGATGACATTATCCTTACCCTGCCCCTCAAATCTCCTGGGAAATGACTTAAGATTAAAATTCCCATTCACAGTTTCATATTCTCCCTGTGATTTGACTATCCAAAGGGTTTAAAGAGAAGATCTTCTCTTAGAGCTTCTTGTCCTCTTAGAGACCAAATAGTGCATTTTTTTTTCCTGAGCCATCTTACTCACTCTCCTTACTCCTGGATACACTGGCCTGAACAATAAGGATGCAGTTGGCTATGAGATGAGAAACTCCCATGCACGGCAAGCTCCAAGGTTAACCAACCCAGCGGCTCCATGCCATTGGTCTCCACCCCCTTTTTTCTGCCTATACCATCTGCCAGCCGAAGAGTCAGCCTCACACTGAGACTGGGCCCCTCATGGTCCTAAGATGAGCACACAGGGCTGCATTCATCCTTGTTCAGGCCCCATAGGAAAGTTTCTTGAGGCTTTTTTCAGAACAGAAGACTTTGTTCCCAGAAGACTGCAGGAGACTCGGCCGCCATCAGCCCGTTTGTCCTTAAAACCTTACTGGTGAGATTACCCTGACCAACCTGCACCAGGGAGCCCCTGAGAACGCGGCCTGCACACTGCCGGGCCATCATCCCCGACAGGCTTATCTGGGAGCACAGAGAGTCTGAGCTGCGCTTTCCTTCTCCCTCTCCAGGCTGCATACCTGGTGGGCATCTCTGATCCAAATAGCCAGGCGGGACATCAGGGCCTCGTGGACCCCATCCAGTTTGCCAGGGCTAACCAGGCTATCCAGATGGCATGCCAGAACCTGGTGGACCCCGGCAGCAGCCCGTCACAGGTAAGCACGGGGCAAGGCTGTGAGCTCTGTGAGTCCTTAAACTCTCGTAGGGGGCTTGTGAGAGACCATGAGGAACTAGGGAAGAATACTGTTCTTTCCGAGTTTGCTAAGCCAGCTAAAGGCAGCCCTGTGGATAACAACTTGGCGGGGGATATTGCAAAATGTGGTGAGCGTGGCAATGTGTCAGTGCTTTGAAACGAGGTGCTGGTGGGCAATAGGATGAAGTCATCGTCGGGAGATTCATCAGGAGTCTCATGATTTCATTCAGGTCAGAGGACGTAGGTGGAGGGCTTCTTCTGTACTCAGCACTAAGGGTCAACACAAGTTAGACCTGATCCCCTCTATGTCCTGGCTCTTCCTCTGTTCATTAAGGCTTGGAAGATGGGGTGGTCAGGGTATGATGACAGCACCCGAGATGCACAGAGGAATATGTGCTGAGCTCTGTGCGGGCCTGTCAAGGTTCACTGCACAGAGATGGTGGTCCTGAGCCAGGCCTCAGAGTCTGGTCAGAATTCAAAGTGCCAAAAGGACCCACAGGACTAGACAGTATGGGTGACACTGCGTATCTGAGTGGCATGAAGTCCCAGTAACTTAAGCAGCGTGTGCTAAAAGGAACAGGAACCAACCCATAGTGCTACCAGAGGCGGCCTGTGAGTGCCACGTCCTCTGTGAACCCCAAGCCCGGCATTCCAGCAGGAGGAGGACCCAAGTGAAGGAGGCAATACAGGGGCCATCAGACCTACCTACGAGCCTGAGAACTGGCATGGAAGACGTCAGGGTACCTGACGTTTCTGCCTATCCAGTTAAGGACAAAGGCGTGTTACCAGCTTCAGCATAGTGGATCAGGGGGGATTCAAGAGAGTGGTGGGGCCCAGGAGATGCCTGACGCAGGCCCCTTACTCAGGTGCCCACAGTTCCCCTGTAGACAAGGAAGGAGCTGTTACACCTTGATGTTTCTTTTCCGCATCTAGACGTGGACTCCAGGTGATATTACGTGGTGAAATGAAATATTTTGGATATGTCAAGTTAAATAAAATAAGTTACCGAAATTAGGGGCGCCTGGGTGGCTCAGTCGTTAAGCATCTGCCTTCGGCTCAGGTCGTGATCCCAGGGTCCTGGGATGGAGCCCCGCATTGGGCTCCCTGCTCGGCGGGGGGCCTGCTTCTCCCTCTCCCACTCCTACTGCTTGTGTTCCCTCTCTTGCTGTGTCTCTCTCTCTCTCTCTAATAAATAAATAAATAAATAAAATCTTAAAAAAAATAAGTTATTGAAATTAATTGCTCTTGTTTGTCTACTTACTTTAATGTGGCTACTAGCCAGTCTAAAATGTCATATGTCGTGTGCCTGGGTGGCTCAGTTGGTTAGGCGACTGCCTTCGGCTCGGGTCATGATCCTGGAGTCCCGGGATCGAGTCCCGCATCGGGCTCCCTGCTGAGCAGGGAGTCGGCTTCTCCCTCTGACCCTCCCCCCTCTCATGCTCTCTCTATCTCAGTCTCTGTCTCAAATAAATAAATAAAATATTTAAAAAATAATAATAAAATAAAATGTCATATGTCGTTCATACTGCACTTCGGTCAGGCAGTGCTGGCCTAGACCCCGGACCGAATGCCTCCTGGTGGGGGGCCCTGAAGCAGAGCTGACTGCCTCTCCTTTCACACGCTCTGGAGCCCAGCACTGTCCCACTACTCCAGTGGCACCTCCTTTCCTTCTGTGTATTCTCTCTTGCTTAGCCATTCTTGCCCCCTGCTTCCCTGGTGTGGCTTTGGGGCGGCAGAGCTAGACACCCACGGCGCGTTATACGGGCCCGAGATAGGTGAGCTGAAGAGGAATCCAGGGCTCGGGACCAGGGTGGACCCCTCTGACCTGGACCCCGCTGCACTGAGTATGCTGTGCCCCAACCCGGCTCCGTGTTTTGTAGGTTCTGTCGGCGGCCACAATTGTCGCCAAGCACACCTCCGCCCTTTGCAATGCCTGCCGCATCGCCTCGTCCAAGACGGCCAACCCAGTGGCCAAGAGGCACTTTGTCCAGTCAGCCAAGGAAGTCGCCAACAGCACTGCCAACCTCGTGAAGACCATCAAGGTAGGTTACGGAACTGAGGTCTTAGTGATCCATGCATCACCTGTTCCAGTGGGGAAAGAAGTGTGCAGGATTTAAGCTCTGCTTTCCTAAGACTTGTGTCTCCTGAAGCCTAACTCCTGATTGAAGTCAGTGAGGGGAAGTCCTTTTCCAATGGAGATAATTATCATGAAAAACCAACAGCCTTGGCCTCCACTAACCTTCTTAGCTGGGGCGGAGGGATGGGAAGTGGTCACCAAGTTCTGTACACGAGAAGCTTAGGAGCAGAAATGTGGAAGAGGTTGGCTGTGAGGCGTCTCTTGGCACGGTGTTTGGGGAGCAGACACCTTGTGTTTACTCAAACAGTCTGCTGCTGTGGGCTGGTTTTGAGCTCATTTGCTACAGGGAATTGCTGGTAGGGGGTCTGCCATTGTTGCTAGATATATCTGGACCTAGAGAGAAGGTGGAGTGGGGAAGGGAATGGGAAGTTGTGGGGAAATCACCTTAAAAAGTCAGTTTCACCTATCCTATGATTTCTGTTTATAGCTGTTTGAATGTTTGAAATGGAGCATCAGATTTTTAAAATAGAGCACTCCATGTTTGTAGCAAGTTCATCTTTGTGTTATAGGCTGTGGACTGGTTGAGGGAGGGGTGGGGGCAGAGTACCCTGTATGAGGAAGGAATTCGCAGCCTGGCAGCACTTGGAAGCTGGTGGGTGAGAGCACAGACCGGTTAGCCTGGTCAGCAGTTTCTTGCCGTTTCAACAAAGAGTCTTAAGAAAGTAAAGTCTGCCTATTTGAAGACAATAATAAGATAGGTTGGAAATAAATTGAAGCCGGTGAGCAGGTGCCCCTGGGATCCTGGTGGCAGCTCACCTTAATTACCGTCATAGTTGATAGTATTCGAAATGAGTAAAGCTTACATTTTTAACTGTTTGGTTTGTACAAAGCCTGTTCCAAGTGTTTGGTGCATATCACTCATCCCAGTTCACACAGCCACCCTGTGTTTGTCACCCCCATTGTGCACTCAGGATACCAGGCGCTAGCAGGTTAGGTAACTTTCCCAAGGCGACCCAGACAGTAAGTAAGTGGCAGATGGGAATTCAAACCCAGATCCCAGAGCCCCTGTTCTTTGCAGTCCCAGTCCTACTCTCACCCCAGCGTGGTGTTCAAATCCAGACTACCTTAGGAAGAAACGCCTTGGTCTGTTGATACTACTTGTGTGCAGATCGGAGGAGGGAGGGCTGAAAGACAGCTGCAGCAGAGGGGAGTCACATCATTGGTGGTTGCTGTATCATTAACTGACTGCAGTCAAACTTGGCCATTTTCTGATCGTTGAGAAACAGACTATATTTAGATGGACCAACAGAGGACGAAAAGGAAGGCAACTGTTCTATAGAAATTGCTGGGAACCTTTCTTTTGTGCTGACTCCTGCTCTAAGTCCTGACCTGTCTCTGTATAAAGCATCTCTGCTAAGATCTCCTCTTCTTTTCAGATGCTCCTCATGGTGTCAAACCCTCTTTGCAATTCCTGGCGACAAATGAGCTCTGGTAATGGCCTGAAAGATAGGCGTATGCAGGAACATCAGAGGAGGGGTGCAGAGTGATCAGTAGGTGGGGAAGATGAAGGCCTCGGCTCGGTGAGCTCCCTGGGAACCAGCAGCAATGCCCGAGGAACAGAAATGAACCCATTGCCCCTCGACCGGCTGAAATGGGCTTGGTTTTTCAATCTGCACCTCGTGGCAGGGTTCGCCAGGGACAATGAGCCTTGTTTTTAGTTTACTAATAGGAAAATGGTAATGGGTCCTTTCCCTGTAGCTCACCATCCTATATACTGAATAGATTTCCTGTTTTAAGGAATGGTTAAGAATCCTATCGTAGAGTGGAATGAATGAATATTCAATTCCCTCGATGTTTAAGACAGCTGCCCTTGCAGGTGCAGTTTGCTCTAAGTTTTAGGCTTCTTAGTACCTTTTTTTTTTCTTTTTTTTTAGCTGATAAAATGGATTTATTCAGTTTTTTTATTCTCTATATATTCTTACATTCAGTTTTCTTTTTTTTCCCCCCATTTTTTTGTTATGTTAGTCACCATACATTACATCATTGGTTTTGCATGTAGTGTTCCATGATTCATTGTTTGTGCATAACACCCAGTGCTCCACGCAGAACGTGCCCTCTTTATTACCCATCACCAGGCTAACCCATCCCCCCAGCCCCCTCCCCTCTAGAACCTTCAGTTTGTTTTTCAGAGTCCATCATCTCTCATGGTTCGTCTCCCCTCCGATTTACCCCCCTTCATTCTTCCCCTCCTGCTTTCTTTTTTTTTTTCTTAACATATACTGCATTATTTGTTTCAGAAGTACTGATCTGTGATTCAACAGTCTTGCACAATTCACAGCGCTCACCATAGCACATACCCTCCCCAATGTCTATCACCGAGCCACCCCATCCCTCCCACCCCCCACCATTCCAGCAACCCTCAGTTTGTTTCCTGAGATTGAATTCCTCATATCAGTGAGGTCATAGGATACATGTCTTTCTCTGATTGACTTCTTTCGCTCAGCATAACACCCTCCAGTTCCATCCACGTCGTTGCAAATGACAAGCTCTCATTCCTTTTGATGGCTGCATAATATTCCATTGTGTATATATACCACATCTTCTTTATCCATTCATCTGTCGAAGGACATTTGGCTCTTTCCAGTTTGGCTTTTGTGGACATCGCTGCTATAAACATTGCGGTGCACATACCCCTTCGGATCCCTACATTTGTATCTTTGGGGTAAATACCCAGTAGTGCAATTGCTGGATCGTAGGGTACCTCTATTTTCAACTGTTTGAGGAACCTCCATACTGTTTTCCAGAGTGGTTGCACCAGCTTGCATTCCCACCAACAGTGTAGGAGGGTTCCCCTTTCTCCACATCCCCGCCAACATCTGTCATTTCCCGACGTGTTAATTTTAGCCATTCTGACTGGTGTGAGGTGGTATCTCATGGAGGTTTTGATTTGGATTTCCCTGATGCCGAGCGATGTGGAGCACTTTTTCATGTGTCTCTTGGCCATTTGGATGTCTTCTTTGGAAAAATGTCTGTTCATGTCTTCTGCCCATTTCTTGATTGGATTATTTGTTCTTTGGGTGTTGAGTTTGGTAAGTTCTTTATAGATTTTGGATACTAGCCCTTTATCTGATACGTCATTTGCAAATATTTTCTCCCATTCTGTTGGTTGTCTTTTGGTTTTGTGGACTGTTTCTTTTGCTGTGCAAAAGCTTTTTATCTTGATGAAATCCCAAGAGTTCATTTTTGCCCTTGCTTCCCTTGCCTTTGGCGATGTTTCTAGGAAGAAGTTCCTGCAGCTGAGGTCGAAGAGGTTGCTGCCTGTATTCTCCTTTAGGATTTTGATGGACTCCTGTCTCACGTTTAGGTCTTTCAACCATTTGGAGTCTCTTTTTGTGTGTGGTGTAAGGAAATGGTCCAGTTTCATTCTTCTGCATGTGGCTGTCCAATTTTCCCAACACCATTTGTTGAAGAGACTGTCTTTTTTCCATTGGACATTCTTTCCTGCTTTGTCAAAGATTAGTTGACCATAGAGTGGAGGGTCCATTTCTGGGCTCTCGATTCTGTTCCATTGATCTATGTGTCTGTTTTTGTGCCAGTACCATACTGTCTTGATGATGACAGCTTTGTAATAGAGCTGGAAGTCCGGAATTGTGATACCGCCGGCTTTGCTTTTCTTTTTCAACATTCCTCTGGCTTTTCGGGGTCTCTTCTGGTTCCATACAAATTTGAGGATTGTTTGTTCCATTTCCTTGAAAAAAGTGCATGGTATTTTGATGGGGATTGCATTGAATGTGTAGATTGCTCTAGGTAGCATTGACATCTTCATAATGTTTGTTCTCCCAATCCATGAGCACGGAACGTTTTTCCATTTCTTTGTGTCTTCTTCAATTTCTTTCATGAGTATTTTATAGTTTTCTGAGTATAGATCCTTTGCCTCTTTGGTTAGATTTATTCCTAGGTATCTTATGGTTTTGGGTGCAATTGTAAATGGGATCGACTCCTTGATTTGTGTCTCTTCTGTCTTGTTGTTGGTGTATAGGAATGCCACTGATTTCTGTGCATTGATTTTATATCCTGCTACTTTACTGAATTCCTGTATGAGTTCTAGCAGTTTTGGGGTGGAGTCTTTTGGGTTTTCCACATACAGTATCATATCATCTGCAAAGAGTGAGAGTTTGACTTCCTCTTTGCCGATTTGGATGCCTTTGATTTCTTTTTGTTGTCTGATTGCTGTGGCTAGGACTTCTAATATTTGTTGAATAGCAGTGGTGAGAGTGGACATCCCTGCCGTGTTCCTGACCTTAGGGGAAAAGCTCTCAGCTTTTCCCCATTGAGAATGATATTCGCTGTAGGTTTTCCATAGATGGCTTTTATGATACTGAGGTATGTACCCTCTATCCCTATACTCTGAAGAGTTTTGATCAAGAAAGGATGCTGTACTTTGTCAAATGCTTTTTCTGCATCTATTGAAAGGATCCTATGATTCTTGTTCTTTCTTTTGTTAATGTATTGTATCACGTTGATTGATTTGCGGGTGTTGAACCAACCTTGCAGCCCAGGGTTAAATCCCACTTGGTCATGGTGAATAATCCTTTTCATGTACTGTCGCATCCTATTGGCTAGTATTTTGGTGAGAATTTTTGCATCCATGCTCATCAAGGATATTGGTCTGTAATTCTCCTTTTTGATGGGGTCTTTGTCTGGCTTTGGGATCAAGGTAATGGTGGCCTCATAAAATGAGTTTGGAAGTTTTCCTTCCATTTCTATTTTTTGGAACAGTTTCAAGAGAATAGGTATTCTTCTTTAAATGTTTGGTAGAATTCCCCTGGGAAGCCATCTGGCCCTGGGCTTTTGTTTGTTGGGAGATTTTTTGATGACTGCTTCAATTTTCTTAGTGGTTATAGGTCTGTTCAGGTTTTCTATTTCTTCCTGGTTCAATTTTGGTAGTTGATACATCTCTAGGAA